TATGTATGTCAAACCATGAGATTCTATACCTTAAATATATACAATACTTATTTGACAAGTCATTCTTTAAAAGTGCAATAGGGTGATAGTAGCTTTTTTTTTTTTTTTTTTAAAGAACATAAAGAGTTGCTTTATATTTCAGTGGCTGCATAAGATTTCTGACCTTGATAATTTTAACCAGTTCCTTTATGGTAGATATTTTGGTTACTTCTTACTTTTCGTTCTTGCAATCAATGCTGCAAAGAATACACTTGCACAAGGTAATTTCACACATCTGTGTATCTATCAGTGGGACAAATACCTGGAAATTTATTCAAAAGCTGTTTCCTGAATGTCTACTGAGTGCCAGGTTGAGGACTCACACTCAGGATTACAACACGCTTAAGTTGCACACTCAAGTTGCATCACGCAAAGTGACGCAACAATGCATGATCCATTGTTGTGAACCCCAGTGGTTCACGTGGTTGTCAATATCAACAGTCAGGGCACAAAACAGCCACAGCAACCAGGGGAGGCTGTAATCCACGCGGTATCCATTGGACACTAAAAGCACTGCTGCTTTCAGCCCCAATTTTGGGGGCCGCCACAAGAGCTCTGTACTTTCCCCCCCAACTTTCCACATCCATCTGTGAAAACCAGGACTTTTCATGTCCCAGGGAGAGGCTTCCCAGGACACAGCGCTTTCGGTGCTAAAATCGGGATAGTCCTGTGCCAACCGGTCAGTTGGTCGCCCTTCAACTGTTTCAGCCAAAAAGCTTTGTAAAATTTTACTTAAAATGTGAAACTTGGAAGGAACACCATCGGAAATAACTTACCAAACTTTATTGTCTGTGCTTGAGAGAATGGACTTAATGAGAAAACACCCAGATGAACGTGTATTGGAATTTGAAAAGATGTTACCAGTGTAAGGCTGGGGAGAAAGTCTGGAATTTTAGGCCACATGTCAGATAATTTCCCAAATGTTTTACTTTGGTGATAAGTTGTCATGTTCAGTTATCTCTGGCTGGCGCACAAAAAGATGTAAAGTAAATATTCAAAAGTCTTTTCCGTATAAACTTTATGTTTACCACCATATTTCAAATAACTACACATTGAAACAATGAAAATAGGAAGAATACTTGGACCTCGACAGGCTCCCTATAGCGATGGAGCTGCAAAAGAGTTTAGAAATTATATCAAGCCATGTCTGTATACTTCAATAGAAATTGACTGTTAAGCTACAAAACTTCTAGCATGTGTTAAATCGTTTGATCATAAATAGTTTGTTCAGGGGAAAAAAATGAATATATTTAAATTTTTCATTTCTCTGCCGATGTATGTATTGAGCTAAATGACCATGCTGTTTGTAAATTATTTTGAATATCATCTTTGCATGTATATGGTCTCAAGGTTTCTTTCCCATGCAGGCCCTTGTTTAGAGGTGGAAGGGGTTCTGGAAATCAGGATAGATTCCCTTCAGCTCTCAGTTGCTTCCCTGATTCTTCATTGGGATTTATCCTATTGCAGCTCCATTTCCAACCATCTTGAGTGCCCAGGAGCAGGGGTTGGCCCACTCTGTATGAGCTGGATGGTAAGAAGGGTAAGTGACTCCAGTGTCAGGTGGCAACCCTAGATCATCTTCTTTTCTTCTCCTCTTGCCAGCCCCCACCTCACAGTTTGCCAGTGATTGAGAGACTTGAGGCTCCTTCCATCTGCCAACAGAGTCGATCAGACCCATGGAGATCAAATGCTCTGGATTTTCAGGGACAGGTCTAACTACATCTAAATTTTATCATTTTGAAAACTACAATTTGTTTAATGTGTGGGCAAATATGATTCAATTTTTATATCTTTATGAGGACTCATGTGCCTACATTCACAAACCAAAATAAAGTCAAGAGAAAAAAAGCAGGACATAAAATCTTATTTATGGTATGACCTTGGCCATCTAAAACATGCATATGCACAGAATATAAGAGGGGAGCAAATACATTGCAGTACAAACCGTGGGAATTTATGGGGATGCGATAACATTCGACTTTCTTTCCTCTTTCTTTATTTCCACAAACTAATCTAATGTGCCTATGTTATATTTTCAATGGAACATCCAAAAATAATAACACCTTTTTCACATCACTTTTTTCTATTTTTGTTTTTAAAATATAGGTTTTGTAGAACGGGACAGCTTCTCACCTCCCCTTTCTGTCGAGGATCCATCCCATCTACACACATACACAGGCACATATGCACACACACACACACTGGCGTATACAGACAGGTGCACACAGGCACACACACAATTTTGGGAACTTGTCTCAGTTAGCACCCTGTTCTACCACTAGCGCAGCAGTGAACAGAGGTGTGACATTTGGTGGGGCACTATGGAAAGATTGCCACCCCCTGTCCCAGGGTAATGGATCGCCAGGGATAGAGGACCCCCTAGGCAGAAGTTCCTAAAGAGTGCAAGATTCCTTTGCTATGTTGCTATTGCCTTGCAGATGGTGCTGACTTTGGTTAAGAGGTGTGCCCTTGGTTCTGACCCCTAAAAACCTCTCTGCACCTCAGCTATTTTCTCTACCAAGCTTACATATGAGAGAGTTAATGATTCCTTTCACCTCGTTTCTTCTAGGTAAGAAAATTTCAAGCGCACCACCCTCAACGTTCTCACCAGAGGTGCGTGTTATTGTTTACATAATTTGCTGCATGTCCTTCAACAAGAACAAAAAAAGTGATTTCTAAAAAATAAAATACGTTTAAAGACTCAGGAAGACATCCCCTTCTTTCAAAGTACTTTCTTTGGGTAAATAAACATTGCTTCAAGTTGCAGAGCCATTTCCAGCACCATTTGCTTAAGGATGGCTTATTTCTGCCAGAATCTACAACTGGCATGACATCTATGAATATGTGATTGCTATTTCACAGGCATTTTCCATATTTCACTTGCTATTGTTCCCGTGAACGTGACTATTTCTTATTTTTTGTGTTCCTCATCTCTTGCCCCCACATTACCCTCTGTAATGCAAGCATTTCATTTTTTATTTTTAATTTTTATTATGGAAAATTTCAAACACATAAAAGCAGAAAGAATAGTACAATGCACTCCACGTACCCATTAAGTTCAAGAGTCATCAACTTCAGCAATCATTAACTTTCTTCAATTCTTGTTTCATCCTATCCCCCATCATACTAGAAAAAAAAAATCTTTTCTTTTTTTTTCCTGGAGTATTGTGAAGCAAAGTGTAGACATCAACCCATTTCATCCAGAAATACACTTTAGATAAGTGTATTAGATAAATTTATTTTATCTAAATAGATAAGGACCAGTTTTAACATAACCGCGGCACAATATCATATCCAGGAAAATGACCAAGACAGACTTAAAGTCATCCGCTACCCAATAAACTTGTTCATTTCCCCAACTGTCTCACAAATGTATTTGTACATTTCATTCGATCAAATTAGAATCTGAAAAATTCCACACATTGCATGTGGTTATGTTGCTTAGAGTCTTTTAACATATTACATCTTCCCCTCAGCATTTCCGTGCCATTTATTTGTTGAAGAAACTATAATCTGCTCACTTCTTGCCAGGACTGGAGAAACAAAGGAGTCTTGGTTTAGAAGCCCGGCTGGGGCACGATGGCAGTCATGGTTTTCCTGGTCCTTGGGCCAGAGGGTTGGGTCTAGGCAGCTTTTGGGTCATTCCTTTCTTCTTTTTTCTACTTTAAAATTTTTCTTTAATGTGCTTAGTGTGTATAACTTTTATAATGAAAAATAGAAATGTAAATAGAAACAAAGATCCTTAATCAGACCATGTGCGCTGGTTTTTATTGTCCTTGTGGAATGGGTACATATTCCACATTCCATTCATAAGAATTAGGGCCCATCTCTCCCCATCAAATTTTGACCCACAAACATACACACCAGTCCTGGGAACTGTCTCAGTCAGTTACTTTCCGTCCTTACCTCCAGTGCACCAGAAGAACTGTGGTAAATCTTGGCAGGACCCCTCAGAAAGGTTTCTCGCCTCTACCCAAGAGGGAAGATTCTTAAACACGTCCCTGCATATTCCCAGGAAATAAAGGCCCCTTGGGCCCACTCCATTCAGATCTTACTAGGTTCTCCAGGGAATAGCAGTAGAAATTGGAGACTAGTGTATCAGCTATCATCTTCACCTCTGGGGCTTCCTGCCATCTCCTCTTGTTTTATATTCAAGAAAGGAGCAGTCCCACCTTGGCACTTCTCATCTAAGTAGGATCAGCAGAGGTGACAGGGGCCGGGGTAGTAGTGTGCGTGATGGTTTCACCATCTGCTGCTTTTAGGATTGGGTCATTTCCAGAAGCGAAGTCGTATAACAGGCATACTAGTTTGAAATAATAAATATAAGGATTTGTCATTATTTTTGCAACAAATCTTTCACCTTCCAACAGTCATAACGACCCTGGGGTCGGGGGAAGTGTGTATGCCCCCTTGAGAAGGAGGATGACATGATATAGGAGAATTGGTTCACTGGCCCTTAGAAAGAAGAATTGAAATAAAGTGTTTCCTTCCCGGAAGAAGTATGGGAAGGAGAGGGGAGAGAGAGAGGAGAAAATTAGTTACACGTGTGTGTCTGGACATCATCTTCTGAAAAATCCTGTAAGTGGGGGTATTAGATGGATGGGAAAGCTGGATATAGAGGCGGCACGTGCCGACAACACTGGGGCCATTATGACTGTTGGAAGACGAAAGCTTTATTGCAGTCTGTGAAGACACTTCACTCAGAGTGGATATGGAGAGATCAGACCCACGTCTGCACTCCTGAACCTTCCTCAGCTCCCACGTGCTTTAGAAGACATCAAGAATATCTCATCAGCCTCATGGAAAAGTGCAGAAGGCAGCTGAATGTTTGTTGTTGAGCACATCAGAGTCACTCTACTTGGGATGAAGGGATCTTGGAGCACGTTGGTCTACAAAGTGGGGTATGCCTGCATACAAGGTTGGTTAAGAGGAGTTATTGTAGGTGTGGAAAGGAAACATTAGAAATTCTGAGCATATTTATTTTTTTATCACATCCTTTTAAATTTCTAAGTTTAGTGTATGTTTCATGAGGACCATTGCATACGAATACAGTGTCACCAGTACATAATTTGTAAATTAAGAAATATACATCTATTGGAGATGTGTGCTCAAAAATCTTTTATTACTGGTGCATGTATCAGATTCTCAGGGCTGCTGTAACAAATTACCACAAACTGGGTGGTTGAGAACAACAGAAACGTATTCTCTCACAGTTCTGAAGCAAGGTGTTGTCAGGGCCACGCTCCCTCTGAAGCCTCTAGGGGAGGATCCTTCCTTGCCTCTTCCTAGCCTCCGGTGGTTGTGGCAATCCTTGATGTTCCTTGGCTTGTAGATGCATCACTCCAATCTCTGCCTCCATCTTCGCATAGCATGCTCCTCCACATGAGTCTGTGTCTCTGTGTGTTCTCTATTTTTTATGAAGACACATTGGATTTAGGGTCCACTCTAATCCAATATGGCCTCATCATAACTAATTACATTATGCAAAGACCCTATTTCCAGATAAAGTCACATTCTGAGGTTCCGGGTAGACATGAATCTTGGGGGCACACTGTTCAACCCAGTACGATGTATAATGAAAAATGATCAGTGACCATTGTTGGGGCAAACGTTACCCTGGTTACCCACATTGGAGTCGACTCTGAGTTGCAACCAAATCTCAAGGGGATCCATAAGTCTAGCAAGAGAACAGTCCAGTAAGAAATCATCGTTCAAGTTGCATGGCCACATAAGCAGAATCCAAAGAATAGCACTCAGACTGAGGACGCCTCTGTACGGCCGCCATGATATCACTTAAGCCTCACCCTTTCTTCCAATCCCCAGACATCATTTTATAGAGGAGAAGGAGAAGTAAGTAGAACTTAGAATTGACCCAATAATTGCCTGAAATGAAGCAGCCGAACTGGAAGAGCCCGAAGAATCTTTAATCATGAAATGCAAGTAGTCATCCTCTGTCCACCTTTAGTACCTGTTGGAGAAGCAGGATCAGTTATGGAAAACAAAGAAGTCGTTTTGTCTTAGCACAACAGAGTGTATTGTATTAAATGTTGAGATTCTGTTAAGAGTCTGTGTAAATGTGCCTCCCTGTCAATTTATGGTGTCTATATCCCTCTAGTGGTTTCAAACTTCACCTAAAAGCTGGCATATCCCATGCTAGCATTTTGAACCGGCTCACAGACAATGGAGAGCGGTGCCATTTAATATTTAAGAGTAAAGTGCATATCTTGGACTTGGAGAGACCTGGTTTCAAGTCTTCATTCTGCCATTTAATAGTGATCTTGCATGGTCCTGCATAAGCGACCTAAACTCTCTGAATCTCAGTTATCTCATCTGGAAAATGGGGGGGGGGGTTATAAAAGCCTATCACAAAGGGTTCTGGTTGGGGTGAATTATACACTATAAATACACGCCCCGATCCTTAATAGGTGCTCAATTGATATAGGCTGTAGCTATTATTGACCTTCCTTCCTCATTCAGGAATCTGCACGAGGATCAGGGGAGAATCCTGTACCACCTTCAGAGCATCCCAGCAGCTTTTCTGGCTTTGCTATTGCACGATTTACCCTTAGCTTAAGGATTCATTGAACATGCTGTCTAAGCTTTGGTGGCCTTCATATTTTAAAATAATTCCATATCCTTCGTGTAAAGATGAGTGAGGTAATATTCTGCTGTCAGCTAATTTCTTTGTGGGAGTACCTCACTAACTTGAAAGTGTTTATCTTCACTATCATTGACACCTTTTCCACTAGATGCTCAAAAAGATTCATTCACTCACACACCTAATGTCTTTTCACTGTTGAATAGGCATGAGGTACCATTCTAGGCACCTGGGATATATCAACGAATGAAGCCAAACACACAAAATCCTGACCCCATGGGGCTTGCATTCTAGCAAAATGATGATGGAGAGGAGTGACACCTGGACTGACCCTCTGGCTGTAGACACTCCTGTGATTTCCAGAGAAATCAGACAGGACAGAGCAGCTTTTTTCCCACCTTGGTGGGAATGTGACCAGCTTCATAGTGCACTTTCGTATCTATTATTATATTTAGCAATGATAAGAATCACAGTATCTGCTCAGCCCCACTTGCACTTTACAAAGCAGTTGCATACACCGCACCTCATTTAATCTCCCTAGCCATCTTCTTGAGTAGGTATTATCATTGTTATATCCAGTTTACAGTTGGGGATGCTGAGACTCAAAGAAGTAAAAGGCTCTGTCCACTGTCACACAGCTCAGCCAAAGTGAGGAAGTCAAACCTTCTGATTCCAAATCCCATTCTTTTCTCAGGGGCGTAAGTAGTACAAGCAGCCCCAACCCATGAGGATTGAGAAAATGGATAATCATAAGCCAGGGTGTGCAGGGAAGGGTTGTGTGTGTGTGTGTGTGTGTGTGTGTGTGTGTGTGTTCACCCAAAAGGTGTTTATCAAAGGAATGAAAGGCAATTGCCCCAGTGCAATTAGTGACGTTTCCTCAGCCCTGGGGGCTCCCACCCACAGCCAAGGAGCTAGTACCATACTTGACGGCCTCCTGGTTGACTCTGCCAGTCTGAGGATGGGTGGCCGTCGTCCTCCATTCCCAAGCACCACTCACTGGCAACAAGTTCCACACTCTTGATCATGTGGGAAAGGGAAATATTGCTGTTTCCTATCCATATCCTTATTAAGAGATGAGCAACCTCTTAATAAGGCCTGCTAGAGCTGGAGTGGGATTGGGCATAGATATGGTGAAGGAGCTCACAGCAGCCAGTCCAACCTTGACTTCTCTGCCTTAGGAGAGGGACACGACAGCCCCTGAGTTTGCTAGCACCATTGGCGCCCAAAAGCCATGAACATGACTTTTGGCTGGTGAGTCCTCCCTCCAACAAAGCAATTCACAGTAAGGTGCAGTGGAAGGGGAAGGCTACTGCAGTCCATGGGTTCTGGGCCATGGTATATATGGTGCATCCCATTAGTTCCCCCGTTGCTTTCCCATCTCCACTTTGGTGCCAACTGCGCTCATGGAACTGTTTTCAGCACACATGTGGGGACACGGATGCTGATGTGGATAGACTGTAGGCTAAAAACTCTAGCATAGAAGTCTAACTGGGTCCCTGCTGTAGGTGCAGTTTCTTCCACTCTCCTGCATTGCCCAGTTCTGACAATTTTCTTAAAACTGATAATTCAGAGGCATTTTTTTCAAAATCTAATTCCTGGTGTTATTCTCACATAATCTCATCACTGATCCACACACTTCTTGCCAGGACTGGGAGAGGCAAACGGGTCCTGATTAGAAGCATGGCTGGGAAATATCGGGCATCACGGTTTTCCTGATCCTTGAGCCTCAGGGTCTGGGCAGCCCCACTCCCAACCGCTGGAGTTCTGTACCCTGCCCTGTGGGAATCTACAGAGAAAGGGCAGAGGGCTTTGGGTGTATTAGCCACATGGTGAGGGGAAAGAGGGGGCCGTTCCTCCTCTGCAGGCAGCATGAGCTGGATGACCAGGACCCTGTGTTGAGGGCCCTCTGCTGTTGACGTTCTTCAGGAGATTTCAGTCTATGTATTTGTTAGCTACAGGTCCCGAGCCTCATATCAAAGGTCGGCACGTCATGGACTGAGGTTTTCTCAGGGAATCAATCCTATTTTACAGAGCTGGCGGGAGGAAGAGGGAGCTGGGAGATCCTTTGGGAGTTCTGAGGAAATCTTCGCTGTGTTGGCAGCTCGGTGTCTCAGGGTGGGATTCCACTGCCGTCCTTCCTCACTCCTCTTTTTCCTCCCAGATACCTGTCTGCTGCCTTGCATGCTGATTTCCTATTCCCTGTCCTGGCGTGTAGGTTGTTTGTACTCCTTCATCGCACCTTGCACGCGTGCACTCTTCTTCTTTCTGAGACAGGATCCTTGACACTAGCGTTTGGAGAGAACAGCAGGTATGTCTGCTTTCTCTTCGCAGCTGCGTTTCAAGGGGGCTGTGCCAGGGTGGAGGGAGGTCTCACAGCAGGGAGAGGAATCAGGGAACAGCCAACAGAAGGAGCTGAGAAGCAGGCTGGCATGTCTCTGACCTTTCGAGCTGTCCAGGCTGGGTGTCAAGAACTGAGTTCTTTTGTGCTCCAGGGCTCTGGAGAGGCGGTAGGTGCCACCTACTCACAGTAACTGCTGCTCAGGATCTGGAACCATGTTTCCCACCGTCAACTTTCCCGCTCTACCATTTCTGAGGAAGTTGTGTGTGTGTGCATGTGTATGTGTGTGTCGAGTAGAGAGAGAGTAAATGTGTGTGTGTTTGAGCATGGGTGGGTGTTTGTGTCTTCGTGCGTGCTCGTGTGTGTTTGTGAGAGAGAGAGTGAGAGAAAGCCTGTCACATCATTAGCTTCATATCTATGTATTCTAGGCCTGGGAAGGTAAGACGCAGAGGCTTAGAAATGCATCTCTAACTTTCTTTCTTTCGCAAAATTTGGATAGTTTTGGTAGACACAACTTGCTTCTCCTTCTTGTGTGTGTGTGTGCACGCACATATATGCGTGTGTGTTTGTCTTAATGAGTGTCCCTGTTTTTGTAATGTGTGTTAGTTTCTAGGTATGTGCACATGTGTGCATTTACGCATATTTCTGGGCACCATACCCCGCTCTGAGATTTTCTCTCTCCTTGTGTGTACCCACGTATATATTTGTGTACTTGTGTGTGGCATGCGTGCCTCTAAGGTGCCTATGCATTATTAGATACGTTTGCAAGTGTGGAAGTGTATGTGGTGTGTTTATGGGGTGTACATATGGGTGAGTGGGGCACCTGATTGTGAATGCACACTTGAGTGTGTGTCTGTCTGCCTTGGAATGTAAGCCAATAAGCACACACTCAGAAGTGAAGACTGGGGGTGATGTCCCATCTGGAAGAGTCTGAACAGGAGGTGTGAGGCAGCTGTCTGTGGGTATACGGGTATGTGTGCACACCTTTAGGGAGAGGTTGATGTCTTTCTGTATGAATTGGGAGACAAAGTGGAGTTGTCACCTGCTGGGGGGAGGGAGACTTTATCACTTTGGGGGCCCAGGACATGCTTGTCAGAACTCCTCTGTCAATGAACTGAGAATGAGAGCTGGAGCTGTTGAAAGAGGAAGGGACAGCAGAGAGGGCAGGAGGGTCAGAGAAGCATGCAAAAATAGGACATTCAGACGGGCTTCCAGGAGTGAGAGCACAGAGCAACCATGTCAAGAGTAAACTTGAGGGTGCTAGAGTGGCCCATGGTACCCTGGCTTCTGTGAGCTGCCTCAGGGACTGCGGTGAGAGGGGCAGCCCAGATGAAAGGTCAGATGTGGCCAGAGAACAACAGGAAGAGGTGCTGTCGCCAAGGTGCATGGGAGGAGGGTGGATCCTACCAGAGAGCAGAAAAGGAAACAGGTTCTGAGGCAAAGGAGATCCCCTGGCAGGCTGGGCTGTGGTGACACCTTCCACTTGCCACAGCCTGAGGGTCAAACTTGCGTGGACTAGCCCCAAGCCAAGCTCCGGGGTCTGCGTGGCTGAGATGTTCATCGGCCTGAGGTGATGTGTGGACTGACTTTGGTGATCAGCCTTGGGTCAAAGAGCAGTTCTATCCTGATGTTTGTAGGGTCTTATTTTGCTTATTGTTTGGTCTTTCATTTTGCCCCCTTAGTACAGTCCCTTGAGACAAAATCATAATTTTTGTCCTGTATGACCCTGAGGAGAGAGGGAATTCCCCCCACGACAAGCGTGTGGAGACCAGAGTTCAGGAGCAGCCAGCTCCTCTGAACTGCCCCGGATGCACATAGAAGAGGGGCAGCTGTGATAACGGTTCTCTCCCCTACTAGGCAGTTCCTCCTCAGCAATGCATTAATGTGTGTATGTGTGAGAGTACAAGTGTGTGTGTGTGTGTGTGTGTATGCTGTAAACTGCCCAGATCAGGGTTTGAGAGCTTCCAAGTACTTGGTGCATTGTATTGGAGACTGGGGACTTGTTTGCAGATAACCATGATAGGAGGGAAGGAGGTGAGGGGGACTGGTATCCTGAGAGGGGCAGTGTGGGTTTGGCGGAGCTGCTTCAAAGTCCACGTTTTTGTACAGGGTTAGAGATAGGGACATGTCACGCACCTCTGCACAGAATGCAGCTTGGCTCTGGCACGTGGGCCCTGGCAGCTGTGCGAACTGCTTGGGGGCAATGTCGACATCATGAGGGTCATCGTCTTACTTGGAGGCTCCATTGAAGCTCTCTCAGGGCACTTCCAGATTGCTTGTTGGAGACTATAGTGAACAGATAGGTCTCGATAGCAATTTGTGTCACCCTTTTGGGACTCCCAGACACAACAAGTATGGGAATTTTTGCCAAGGGGGCTGTGAGATCAACAGTGATAATAGAGGGGGGCTCTGAGTCACTGTACATGTTTGTACCGATATACAGAAAACTGATGTAAATGTTTACAAATATATGTGTGTCTAGCATTAAGTATATATATATGTGTGTGTGTGTGTGTGTGTGTATACATATATATAGTTGTTATAATTTGTATCATATTCGTTGTCATCTTCCTGACTATGCATTGAAAGAGTACACACAAATGTTAGCACAGATAACCTCTGGATGGTGGGATTAAGGCTAAATATTTCCTGAACACTATACTTTCAGGGCTCGCAGAAATGTGTGCAAGAATCACGAAGCTTTCCTACAATCACAAAGTACAAAAAGCTACAAAGTAAGTTCCATCTTTCCTTGACTGTCAAGGCCCAGCGGAAGTCTTGGCCGCTGTGATATCTTCCTTTTGAACTCCTGTACTGCTTCTTGTTCATACAACTCTCTTGACACTCTGTCAGCAATCGAATAATTTGGTATTTCTTCTTCTTTTTACTTGCAATTTCTTCTTATTTAATCTCCTTCATGATAAGAACCATATTTTGTAATAATTCCCTTGAAATAGCAACCACTGATTGAATGTCTCTGATGGGCTAGGCACCGTGCCAGAGCAGAACAGATGAAATTGCAGTCTGTGGACACTTGCTGCCTCGCAAAATTGTGTCACCAATCTGCGGTAAGTACATAATTTGAGAGTACATGTTTAGAAAGTTCTATCGTCTATGGTGAGAGTCTCTATGATGTTTTAAAAAATCGAGGCTTGCACTTTGTGTGTCTTTGCCATTTTTCTTCTTTCTATTAATTCATTTTCCTTGCATCGTACAAATGTATTGGTCCATGAGTGCCTGGCTTGGAAAACAACAAATACTTGTCGTTCACCGCAGACAGTTTGAGAAGCAGCAGTCTAGGGGATTTGTGAAAATCAGCTGATTCATTTTCCACAACATGTCTATAAAGCAGGAGGCATTATTCATGTTTTTGGCGGTGTACACAGAGGCTGACACAAGTTAGATAACTTCTACTAGGTCCCCAAGGTATCATGTAGACACCTTGGGTTCGGTGACCAGCATGTTTCCACCCAACTTGCATGGTTCACCTCAACTGCTACTCCACTGGTGCCCAGCACTTGTTTGTCTTATCAGGACTTCAGAAGTGCCGATTACACAATCCTGGTGGCTGCTCTCCACTTCACAGCATCATATGGGGCCAATGATGCCTCCGGGCCAGCTCGATGACAGCCTTTATGGCAGGCACTGCAGCAGGGCTGGGGGGCACCTTGGAGGAGTTCATCTCTGAAACGAGGGACACAGTTTCAGGCATGTTAACTAAAGCACCATGTGAAGGGAGAACAGAGTAAAACGATACTAAATGTCCATTTGCAGAGGAGTGGGCACCTAAAGGCCTTGATCACGATTTCTGGGTCAGGGCTATTGGAGAGGGTAGAAGGTGAGTGTGTGCCCTAGAGGAGCTCATCTATAAAATAAGCTGCCTTCCAAATCTGGGTCTCCTATGGCCCCGTGCCCTCTCTTCTTCCTCTGTTCCTTTCTTCTCAGGGAGTCTGAACTGATTCTCACTGGCTCAGATCAGCCATACGATTATGCCTCTCCTGGCATAGGCCTGGACACTGTGACCTGAGACCCAATCCTGTGAAAGCCTTATCTGGAGATGAGGCTCCACTTCACTGTGAAGCTCATTCCTTGGGTCATATTAGATGGGAACTTTTGCCAGACAAGTTTGGTAGGGAGTGGTTGAGAGATGACAGAATGAAGCCGACTGGAGGAAGCCCCAAGGAGAACAAAAAGACTGTGCATGATTTGCAAATCATATATGTGACAAAGGGTTAATCTCCATAATATATAAGGAACTCACACAACTGAACAACAAAAAACCAAACAACCTGATCAAAAAATGGGCAGTGGATAATTTTTCCAAAGAAGATGTACAGACGGCCAATAAACACATGAAAAGATGTTCAACATCACTAATCATCAGGGAAATGCAAATCAAAACTACACTAAGATACCACCTTACACCCGTTAAAATGGCTATAATCACTAAGACTGAAAATAACAAATGTTGGAGAGGGTGTGGAGAAAAGGGAACCCTCATACACTGCTGGTGGGAATGCAAACTGGCGCAGCCACTAGGGAAAACAGTGTGGAGATTCCTCAAAAAACTCAAAATAGAACTACCATAGGACCCAGCTATCCCACTACTGGCTATCTACCCAAACAATTTGAAATCAACAATCCACAGTAACATATGTACCCTATATTCATAGCAGCACTATTCACAATAGCCAAGACATGGAAACAATCCAAGTGCCCATCGACCAATGATTGGGTAAAGAAGATGTGGTATATATATACAATGGAATACTACTCAGCCATAAAAAAGACAAATTCGTCCCATTTGCAATAACATGGAAGGACCTGGAGGGAATTATGCTAAGTGAAATAAGCCAGTCTGAGAAAGACAAACACCAGATGATTTCACTCATATGTGGAATATAAACATACAAATGGACAAAGAAACCAGTTCAGTGGTTACCAGAGGAAGGGGGGTGGGGAGTCGGCAGAGGAGGTGAAGGGGATCACTTAGGTGGTGACAGACAAGAAATAATGTACAACTGAAATTTCACATCAGCGTAAACTATTATGAACTCAGTAAAAAAAAAAAGACTGTGCATGAGTGAGAGTGTGTGTGTGTGTGTGTGTGTGGCCAACACTCTAAAGAATAGTGTTCCAAATGGCACAGTGGCCTTTTAGTTTGATCAGAGTTGTTGATGTCCCCAGGGAGTTACTGTCCTGGCTTGGTCAGCCAACAGGCCTCCAGGCATTAAGGATGTTCTAAAAGTCAAGGAGGAGAGGATAGTTCTATGGTTCTGGG